CCCCCTCCCTCCCCCCTCTCCCTCCCTCCCCCTCCCCCCTCTCCCCTCCCCCTTCTGTGGACCTGTGCTGCTTATTTGGAATATAGGTTTTTAAGTTTGTTTGTTTATATTTCATTTTAGAACTCTACTCCCATTCTTGTTGCTTTTCTCTTCTTTCTCTTTTTTCTCTTTCTTTTACAGTATGTGAAGTATTAAATAGAGTAAAAAGTAATTAATCTTCTTCTTATAAATTTGATCTTTTATTAAACCAGTTTTCTTTTATAGGAATTTCGATCCGGGGGGAATATGTAACCATGTTATTGATGTCGTCATATGTCATTTTTTAAAAAGCGAGTTATTTACTTCCACAAAGCCAAACATATCAGCTTATGCTTGAACCAATGATAGTCCGCTCGCTCACGGCACCCGCCTGTTTGTGCCTGGCTGGAATGCCCTGGTGGGGAGGGTGCAGACTCCAGGCGGGCACTGACCTGCGTGGTGCGTGAGGGCTGAGCAGCTGTGAAACACAGTTAACTGCTCTGTCAGTGCTTGGGAGGCTCCCTGGCCCCGGGGTGGGTTAAAAGGGTGACACTGCCTTCCTGCCGCAGGCCGGCTGCTCCGATGGCAGCATCAGGCTGCACCAGCTCACCTCTGCACAGCCGCTGCTGCAGTGGGACCACAGCACGGGGGGCCGGGCCATCAGGGCACTGCAGTGGTCCCCCACGAGGCCCGCCGTGTTCCTGGTGCAGGATGACGCCTCGAGGATTTACGTGTGGGACCTTCTGCAGAGTGACCTGGGCCCCGTGGCCACGCAGCTCGTCTCCCCAGACAGGTGAGTGCCAAGCCCAGAAGCCGCCCCTGCCTTTCTGCTTATGTAACTTATTCACACAGGATGGCCACACTTTAAGGGTGTGACCGACTGTAGTGATGTATTCATAACTTAAAACACACTTCAGATATGGAGAACACTTGGTCTCTTAGAGCACTTTCAGGTTCACCGCCAGCCTGCCAGGAAGGCACAGAGCTCCTGTGGGCCTCTGCCCGCCAGCAGCCGCCCAGGTGACCCCCCAGTCCCCTTGCCTGGGGTTCAGCCTGCCTCGTCTGTCAGCCAGGGTCTTGGAGCAGCTGCCCCGGGGTCGTCACACAGTCAGCGCAGGTCGTCTGGGGGTTGGGAGACTCAGAGGGCAGTGTGGCCTGTCACAATCCCTGCAGAAGGGAAGCAGCAGCTTCCTGTGAGCGCTGAGCTAGTGAGCCATCTTAGGAACTCGGACGCCTGTGAGTGCTGCTGCTGGTCTCTAAGTAGGGATGCACGTGTGCTGGGTGACGCTGGCCCACCACCAGTCACCCTCCGCTCAGACCCCCAGGGTCCCTGTGTCCCACGGCCCGGGTGAAATCTATTTAGTGTGAATTTAAGATGTGCCTTGCAGTGATACTACTTTATTTATTTATTTTTTAATATCTCTATGTTTTTTTAGTTGTAGTTGGACGCGGTACCTTTATTTTATTTATTTTTATGTGGTGCTGAGGATCGAACTCAGGGCCTCACATGAGCTAGGCAAGTGCTCTGCCACTGAGCCAAAACCCCGCCCAGATACTACTTTTAAATAATTATTTGCCGTTGTTTTGTCTGTTTCAAAGCAGAGATATTTACAGAAGCTTTCATTGCCAAGGGTTCTCTCATGTGTTGAGAGCCACAACCAAGTCAAGATGGCGCCTGGCATTTTGCCAGAAGGAGTGGTTGAGGGGTAGCGCCAGCGAGCCATTAAGATGATGATAATTAAGCTGTGTATAATTATTAAGATAATGACTGATTGCTGTAACTGGATGATGCAGGATTGGGGCCAGCTGTGTATTCAGTTGTGTATATAAACCTCTGCTACTAAAATAAGGCTGCTCCTGCTACTTCGGGTGCCCGCTACTTTTGAGTTCTCGCGGAGTTCCCGTTGATTCTCGCGGAGTTCCCGTGGAGTTCTGGAGAGTTCCTGTTGGGTTCGGGCAATAAAGTAGTTCCTGTTTGAACCTACGAGTGGCTCGTGACCCCGGTTATTTGTGCCCAGCCAGGCTGCGGCACTCTTGACCTCAGTTTGTCTTTTCACCTGCGTTTTTTTCTTGAGATTTCACCTTTATTTTCAGTAACTTCTCTGTGATTGTTTGTGAGAATTGGGAGGAAGTACCACTGCTCTTTTGTAAAGGAATGAAGAGGATAAAAATGGTTAGAAGGAGATAACCGTTTGATAGAAGGTTAGGGATATGCTGATAAGATCTGAAAAAATTTTAAAAATTATATTTTCTTAGTTCACTTGCTAGGTATGTTGACATTATTCTGATTATTAAAAATTTGTCAGGTACCAGTGGGTGGTGCGCCTGTGGTTTCAACACTTGGAGGCTGAGGCAGGAGGATTGCTTGAGCCCAGGAGTTGGAGGCCAGCTGGGCAATGTGGTCCCCGTCTCAAAAACAAAAAGCAGAAACAAAAAAAGCACATCAAAACTTGGGACTGTGATTGACATATGAGTGCATAATGCTTCCTTGGTTTGTTACTCCAGGAAGTCCGTCAGTCACTTTTCATAAGCAAATACAGTATTTATTGGGCACCGACTCTGTGCCCAGTGCTGCTGTAGCGTAAAGCATATTGGGAGTGGCTTTCCTCTGGTGGCAGGACACTCAGCGGACGAGGAGTGAGGAGGCTGGGTGTGTAGGAACAGAGGCCAGGAAGGGTGAGGAGCCCTGTGAGAATGGAGGCCTGGGAAGCCAGGGAGGACAAGGAGCCACGTGGGCATACTCCTCCGTGGCTTCTGTTCCTGCACAGCTCTTCAGCCTCCCCAGCCTCTGTTCCCACATAGCTCCTGGTCCTCCCTGACCATTCTGCGAAGGTACTTCCATGGGGCTGGTCAGGGAACGCTCTCTTGGCATTCCCCTTACCACGCAGGAGGGTGTGCCTCAGTCACTGGTCCCGTCTCTGGCTGTGAGCCTAGTGACACTCTGGGAGGCCTCTGCACACCATCCAGGGGGTCTGGCATGCCCGGGCTTTTAGAGGCATCTGCCCTAGGGGCTCACAGGAAAGAGCTGGCCGCCAGGATGCATTTCCTCACTGTGCTGACAGCAGAACCTTCTGGAGTGGGACAGAACATGCTTTTCCGTGAGCTCCTGTTTAAATGTCTGGCAGCAGCTTCCAAGTTAAAGAAGTAATCCTTGTGCTGAATTTTCTTTCTTCAGCTTTAAAGAACTGAACAGGAGGAGCTGAGTAGCTCTTACAGGGAAGGCACGTGGGTTGGGTCCGTGGAGTGCCTGACACTTCAGAGCTGGGCTGGCGGTGATGACCAGCCTCCTGTTTCCTGTAGCCCAGGAGCAGCTGGGCAGCCCATGCCTGGAGGATGGGCAGCTCCCGGATCCTCTGGCCAGCCCCAGCCCTGGAGCTGGTGGTGCTCTGTGGGGCGCCGAGGGTTGGACTCAGACTTTGGTCCTGGTTTTCTGTCTTGTGCTTTGCTCTGTCCAGCTTGCACATCTGAAGGACCTTTGAAAACATGGTCAGTGATGGTGCTGACCTGTGCTGATGCGTGTGTTTTAAATGTCATGGATTCATTCCCAGTGCTGGGCTTGAGCCCAGAGGCTCTGCCCCTGAGCTACATCTCTCGCCCTTCTTAATTTATTTTGAGACAGTCTCACCAGTCCGCCTTGATTGTCCTTGAACTGGTGATCCTCCTGACTCAGCCTCTCAAAATTGTTGGGATTACAGGCGTGTGCCACTGCACCCGGCCCTAAGTRGCTTTTAAAGAGCACCTGGAAATAGTTCATCCATGGACCACATGGTGTTGACCCTACAGTCCTGATGTCAGGGAGCCTCTGTGAAGGTGTCCACGCGGTCAGCTAGGTTTCCCTGTGTTTCTGGTGAGTTGATGGGCAGTGGTGTGGAAGTGTCGGCGTCACTGAGAGCTCCGGCTACTTTACTTTCCCTGGTCTGCTCCTTTTAAGGCTTAGTTTCCTGACCCCCAAATGCTATGGGTTTGCCTCAGGGRCCGGCAGTAGGGAGGGAGTGACCCTAAGAGGGCCACCCTCAGGCCATGGCTCCAAGGGCACAGGAGTCCTGGTGTGGCTCTGCTGTGCTTGGGTGGCGTGCGCCTGGGTGTTGGGTGTGTCTGGAGTGCAGCTCAAGGGTATGTGGGGTGTCCGTAGCAGGCAGAGCTGGTGGGCCACCAGACAGGACTGCCTGCCCCGGCTGCTGGCTCCATCTGACTGTGGCGAGGCATCGGTCCTGACCTGCCGCCACTCGCGGATCCCACGTGTGTGGTCTGCACCACGCAGAGCCGGCATAGCCACCCAGATCCCTGCTCAGGAAGACAGGGAAGGTGCGCCAGGCACCTGCTGGGTGGGATGTGGCTCTGTCCTGGATGCCTCGGCTGTGACAGACATGCCCTGGATGCCGTTGGGACTCCTGGTCCAGTTTAGGCACAGTGAGCAGGTTCCCCAGGGTGGCCGGCACCCAGCCAGGTCTCATGGATGGAGAGGAGTGAAGTAGACAGAGGTGGGTCGAGAGAGCCCCCCAGAGGCACTGGGAGAGAGTGAGTCCAGCCAGTCCTGGGACAGCAGGGACCCAGGGAGACCATGTAGGAAGGACTGGGCACCTCCCACTGGTGACAGGGAGGAGTTTAAGTGGAAATGAGCGTCTCTGTCAGCTGCAGGGAGAAGATGAGATTTGAGATGGGCCCATCAAAAAACTGGTCAGCAGAGAGGAGGGCATGACCTTTGCGTGGGGACCGTGTGGAGGAGGGACATGCAAGAGCAGGATCAGGTCCAGCTTTCCCACTCGGGCACCTGCTGGTGGAGGGAACTGCTGTTTGCCTGGAGGACAGAGCTGACCCCCAGGCTGCGGGGCTCGGGGAAGCCGCCTGGCTGCAGGTGCAGATTTGTGAGCTTTGACATTTCACTAGTTGAGAATGAGGTGCTAGGGACCCCCAAACTGGGACTCCCACCTGTCTACAAAGGAGCAAACCCATATGGGGGGATTGGATCCTGTCAGCTCTGCCCATCTGCCCTCCCACGCTGGGCCCCATGCTGGCCTCCTGCCAGAGCCACGCCTGGGCAGCTTGGAGGCCCTGCTAGGGGCACTTGCCCCAGGAAGCCCTTCCCAGCTCCCAGGTGTACCCACAGCCAAGCCCCGGGCAGCTCTTTCTCAAAGGGTAAGTCACGCCTGCGTGRCAGGGGTGGGCCCACAGTTACCCTGGTCTGGCTTCTCATCTGACGTGGACGCTGCAGAAGGTGGCCACCATGGGAGACCCCGTGATCACTGCGGGTCCCCTGGTGGCCACCAGCTTCTCTGCTCACGTCCCCTCTCCCCCGCAGGGTGGTGACCATGACCGTCATGGGGGAGCCAGAGAAGGCCAGGGGCAGCTTCCAGGCCCTGGTGCTTGCCAGAGCCTCGGGCAAGGTGGACATCCAGTACCTGAAGAGGCAGTGGACGTGCCCGGAGGCAGACGAGCACAGCCGGCTGCGCCTGCTCCTGCAGGGAGCCCTGAGGAAGGAAGGTGGCCTGTCTGCCTGAGGGCGCCGTCCACGTTGAGGACCCATGACCCGACACTGGACCTTGGGCACTGTGTTCACTTGTGTTTGTGTACGTAGAACAAGCGTATTCCATACATGCTTTGTTTTACAGAGTGTTATTTCTGTATTCCCATTAAATAAGTCACTATTTTGGAAGAGAAACMAAAGAACATTTTATTGTACACTAAACTTCAAAGGAAATATCAAGTTAAGTCCAATATGCTCTTTTCTGAGAGTATTTCTAGTTATTTTTAGAATAATTGTAAAATATTATCACATTTATCACTAGATCTTAAACAGTCTACCATGAAAATTTATTGTAATGGACTATTTTCTTAGTTGTGCATAAAGTGATAAACACACATGTCTAAATTAAAAGGAACACCTTCACTGAGACGGCCTCTCTGGCTGACTTCCTGCAGCTTCTCTGGGCAGCATCGCTTGGCGTGATTTGTATGTCACCTGCAGAGCTGCGTCGTGCCTGGGTATTAAAGTGGTCTTTGTGGAGAAGCAGCAYGTGTGAGCCCTCTGGGCCAGGTGCCCCTGGCGTGAGGTGGACGTGTGGGCCTGTGTCCTGGCGTGGGGTGGACGTGCTGTGGAGGGCTGAGGCAGCAGGCTGCCCTCTGCTCTGAGGCCTGCTGGGTGCTGGGAGCAGGTTTCAGCCTCAGATTCCGACTTGCCTGACGTGAGGGCGCAGCGCCTCGCTCTTCCTCTGCAGACCTCTTTTGCCCTGGGTAGAATTGGGCGCTCCCCACCGAGGCCACGCCATCCTACTCTCCTCCACGTGGCTCTTGTCACATGGGCGGTGTTTGCCTGGGCTTAGGCCTTTGGATTGATCAGTGAGTCCGCTCATGGAAGCGCGGGTGTCTTGTGGTGCTTCTGAGTCAGGTGCCCAGTCTCGGGTCCTGAGAATCACCTCTAGCGCCAAGCCACATGCTCGGTCGTGTCCTTTGCTTGAAGGAAGTCAAGAACGGAGCCCTCCTGACTTGCCAGTRGCTCCTTGGTTCTTCCTGAGGCCTCTCTAGGGCCCTTGCCTCCCTGCTGAGGAGCTCAGGTGGACTTCACGTCCCTCGCGGCCGTGCTGGGCAGCGGAGGCACGTGCAGGAGGCCTGCGGTTGGTTTCCTGAGCGCTCTCTTGCTAGGGGCAACTGGGAAGACCACCTTTGAGACTGCAGACATTTTGTGGCCCATGGCCACATGTGGGCCTGCGGACAGCATTGAGTGCCCTCTGCCCCATGGCTGGCCCCCTGATGGGGCATCGCCCATCCCTTGTTGCCCTGCAGGGCCTCCACTCCCCCTCAGAGCCCTGTGACAATGCTTTGTGAGCCATCCAGGAATGCAGAGGCCCCAGCAACTTGTCCCCAGCCACCTCTGCAGGAAGACAGCCCACAGTGTTTGTCCTCCACACCCCCATCTCAAAATAGGGCCTCTGGGCCTCAGGTCAGGTGGCAGTGCTATCTTCCCTGGTGATACCTTCCTTAGTGACACCTCTGGGCCACCCCCGGAAAGAAGGTGGTCTGACACAGGGTCGTGGCGCAGCCCCAGCTCATGAAAACAGCAGGGTGTTCCATAGCACCTCTGGCCTCGGCCTCCCCGGAGCTGCCCTCTAGCAAGCAGGTGTGGTGGGTGGGTCTCTGCAGGGCACCCCCAGGAGTCTCCTGGCTTCTCGTGCTGAGCCCACAGGAGCCGTGCATTTCCCTCCAGGGCAGATGTGGTCATCTGACTCTCCTCTCAGCTTCTTGGACGTCTTGGCTGTCTCAGCTTACTGAGTCTTCACCTTTCTTTCCAGAGGACTATCCCTCTCTCCCTCCCCTCACTGGCCCCAGGGCCTGTGCTGTGCCTGCAGCAGGTGCTGGATGGAGACACTCGAGCCTTTGTTCACACAGAGCTCATCCCCTGATGCYGAGGCTGTGGGTGGCACTGCGGATTGAACCCAGAGTCTCGTGCACGGGAGCCCTTTTTACAGTGGGGACAGGGTCCTGCTGAGTTCTCAGGCTGGCCTTGATTGCTGTCCTGCTCAGCCTCCTGCATGAATTTTAGTCCTGGAGCCAGACACTGGTTTCCCTCAGTGCTCCTCTGGCCCCTCCCCAGGTCCCTGTTTGTGAAGTTGCACTTGATTTAAACCTGGATTTCGGAGGGTGACTGACTGATTTTACCTGGTCAGGTCCAAATACACTCCGAGACCAATAATGATGATTAAGGAGATGGTCATTAAACCTCACTTGTGGGAACCTGCAGAAACACATGGAAGAGGGTTAACAACATACTATTYCTTCTAAATCTCCATCAAAATGCTCAGGAATATGCAAACAGGGGTCAAATTCTAAGACCAAAGACCAGTCCACAGTGCAGAAGTGATCTCTCCTAAGCAGAAGATGGACGTGCTGCTGGGAGAGCCCACACCTGGAGGAGGAGCGGCCGTGGCCCCAGTCCTCTCCTGCTGTTTCCTGATTGGTCTGTTGGGACATCTGAGGGACTGTCAGGCAGAAGACCCACGTGGCTCCCATCTGTGCTGGGAAAGCATCTACCTGATTGGTGTGTTGGGACACCTGAGGGACTGTCAGGCAGAAGACCCACGTGGCTCCCATCTGTGCTGGGAAAGCATCTACCTGGGTGGGAGGAGGCACGGACCTGCTGCCGGGTCTGAGAGGTGGCTCCTGAGGACAAGCTGACCACACAGACCCTGGAAGGAGCAGCCTGCAGCCACGGCTGGGGAGCAGGAGAGGAGAGTGGCGGGTCACAGAGCCTGGGAGAAATGACAACGTAAGAATCCAGGGGCTTCCCGGAAGCCAGGGGGTGGTTTCCTCCTTCTCCTCTGTGTCTGTCTCCAGGGGTCTCCTCGGTGGCAGCTTAGGTTCCCAGCCAGTGCTGGGCCATGGTCTTCCCTCTAGGGAACAGTGCTGCTCTGCTCCCTCCCAGGAGGACTCTGCTGGCCAGCTGGAAGAAACCGCAGCCCAGGTCCTGCCGGGCCCATGTGAATGTCGGGTGCAGTGCTGGAAAGCCAGCCACACGGGGGCAGCCACTGCTAGGGTGCCAGAGCCGTCACCACCAAGCCCAGGAGGAGTGAGCTCCGGCCGGGGCAGAAGTTCAAGCCAAGCCTGCCTGCAGGAAGCTCTTCCAAGAGGGTCGTTTTAAAAATACACCCACGATCAGTCTTGGTTCCAGGGGATGGGGGCTCCACATGTTTTTAAAACATTTATTTTCAAGTTTTAGATGGACATGATATCCTTATTTTACATTTACATGGTGCTGAGGATGGAACCCAGTGCCCCCTGCGTGCTMGGCGAGCGCTCGACCGCTGAGCCACCACCCCAGCCCCCTCCACATTTGATCTCTTATTTTTTTAAGGATTCATTTTTGATGGGTCTGACGTGAAATACCTGAAAATGCCCAGTGCTTGGTAGGGCCCCTCTCAGGGGAGCCCCACACCACAGTGCGGGGTTCTGAGGTCAGCTCGTGCTCTGGACAAAGCTGTAGGGGTCTGTGGTCCACCTGATGGGTGGTCACTGTGGCCAGACGGAGTGCAGACACCCTAGCACGGGGTTGCGGGAGGCCTCTGGCGAGTGGGCACGGCACAGCCTGAGAACCAGACGGCCTGGGGTTTCACCTTCGTCACTCAGAAGAGAATGTCCCCGAGTGAAAGGTCCTTTCTCTGACAGCAAGCGGCCATTTTGTTCCTATCTGAGGAGATTTTTGCTTTTATGCTTGTTAAAAACCATCCATCTCTAAGGACCTGAATCTGAGAAGGTGTCACCAGGGAGCAAAATTGCGACGTACGCAGTCGAGGGGAGAAATAAAGAATGTCCACGCGCTTCTGCCCCTTTCAGTGCTTTATTCACTCAAATCACTCCATACAATTTCACTCTCTAGGTTCTTTTTTTAAAATAACTTTATTTATTATTTGTATGTGGTGCTGAGGATCGAACCCAGGGCCTTACACGTGTGAGGCGAGCGTCTACCACTGAGCCACAACCCCAGCCCCACTCTATAGGTTCTTTATGATTATTATTATTTTTAGGTGGACACAATATCTTTATTTTACATTTATGTGGTGCTGAGAATCGAACCTATGCCTCACGCATGCTAGGTGAGCACGCTACCACTTGAGCCACTACCTATAGTCCCCTCTATAGGTTAATCAAGAAAATGACCATCCTTAATGCTGGGCACTGCAGTAGACACCATCAATTCACAGCAAGCAATTCTAGATTAATTAATTCACTGCAAACACACTTCATCATGACAGGCTCATGACAGACCTTCCCTCTGCAGGCTAAGTTCAAAAGTCTCAAGCCTTAGGCTTTATGTCCAGCAGATGCCCACCCACTCAGACTGCGGTGACCAGGTCCAGAACCAAGGCAGGCCTTTCCTGATGTGAGTGGACGACCGGTTGAGGAGGGGGTCGTAGGGAGAAGTTGGGGCTCTCACCAGGGTCTAGACGAGGCGGTAGGGTTTGAGAGAGGTGAGGATCACTCAGAGGACAGGATCGATGACAATGATGGGATGTCAGGTCCTCATCAGGCCTCCAGCTCCCGTGCACCCTTGTTTCACCTGGCTGAATCTCTGTTCGTTTGCTCTATCATTCATACTAAATTCGGGGATTTTTTTGACCCCCCATTTCAATCCTTATCAGCTACCACCGGGTTTCTCAGTGACGTCATTTACCCTGGGGACAGAAACATCTGGTCTGGTGTCTCCCCCCATCAGGCGAGGACCGCCCGCCAGGGGCTTCCTCTGTTGATCAGGGCGAGGGGCAGGGACTTGTCTGAGGCCACCCTGGGGGGCTCTGTGGGTGTGCCTGGGGAGATTGGAGTTTTAAAATGGAGTTGCTGAGGCTCAGGTCTAAGGCCATCCTCACAGAGGGGTAGCTCTGTGGTGTCCCAGTCTGAAGGGTGTGACTGGAGTGAGGCCATGGCAGCTGTCCCTGCTGTGGGAGAGGCGTGGCCTGTGTGGCCCACGTGTGGTCCCTGCTGTGGTCTCTGGAAGAAGCCCACAGACGGGCTCACTCCAGCCGACTCGGCCTCTTGACAGTCCAAGACGCCTCCCTGGTTCGACCTCAGGTTGCACTCACCACCTTAATCAGCCAGTGATGGCAGGAACTTCCCCAGCTTCGTGGAAAGTGCCATCTGCCAGGCACAAAGCCAGGTTGGGGGAGGACCTGGGATGGGGGCCCATGCCTGGCCTGACACACAGAGGGGTCTGTGCACGGGGTCTGCCGGGCGGGCTCCGCTGGGGACTCGCCCCTGGGAGCTGCAGGAGGTTGGTTCCTGCTGCCCAGGAGCACCCCCCGTCTGTGGTGGGGCTCTTTTTCCCAACCCTGTTCTTCTCAGCTCGGTGCTTACATTCCTGAGGCTGCACAGCAGCACGCCTGCGTGGA